AAAATCCTTGCCTTAAAAGTTTGAATTCCCAACTCTCTAATTTCCACCATTGGCGTAAATGTATAAATAGCATTCCTTAGTCAAGCTAAAGAAGATCACAGCAGGAAGCTCAAGAGTCTTTCCTGAAGTTCTCAGTCAGCTCTTAGCAGTTGGGTGCTTGTGGCTAAGACAAGATTTCACAATGTGGCTGAAAATGAGTATGCCTTAAAGGGGATAATGAATATTTATCCAAGCAGGTGATGTTGAGTCTCACACCTACAACATGCTCTAAACAATTACTCAAGCTCCCAAAACACTCATAAACACAGTACTCAATGCTACCCAGAGCCATCCAGGACCAATTTTAAGGTGGTGCACCAAATCAGCTTCACCACTTTCTGGAACTACTTCCCTTATAAACCCTCTAACTCTGCCCGGATCAAGCCAGGAATCTGTCACAAAACCCCTGTCTGGAAGAGATTCTCAAATATTGTTTATCACAACAGATTAATCACATAGCTGACTAGAGATAAAATTTCAGGAGTGCCAAACCTCTGTTTGGTAATTCCTTAACTTGCCACAAGTAAGCAAAGAGTCTGAAAAAGTATTGCTTGAAGATGCATTAAAGCATCTGTTCAAGGTGAGACTCTTTATCTTTATAACCACAGAGAGAGGGATTCTGGTAACACAGGATTCTATAAAATTTGATTTTAGATTTGCCCCATTTACAGAGGGCCAGGGTTTCCCCCGCTCATGTTTTTCTGAGCAGGATCTGACTAGGTCTCTGATCTTTGTCTTAAAACAGTCAGATCTCTTTCAAGCTCTCTTACCAAAATTGAGGGAAATCAGCACATATGACTCCATTTTTTCCAAATCTCCCTTTCTCTTTTTCTTTCTGCATAATATCTACATGATTATAAAGAGAAAATCTAGAAACCTCTGGCTTTGGAGCTTACTTCTTGCCTTCTGTCTTGCTCTGCTAAAACAATTCCAAGAAAAATTTCCACCTTTCAACTCTTAGCTGGAAATCAGCAACCGAATGTCATTGGAGGATATCAAATGCTGGTGTTTGGCAAAACCCTTTGCACATCCGGTCAATTTGTTTTGTGTTGGGAGGACATTTAATCGATATCTGTCTGGTTCACTTACACATGTATCATCCTAAAGTCATTCTGAAAGAACCATTTCACTCCCAGGAAACCTTTATACATCTGTTCCTAGAGATATATAAAAGGCATCATAAATCTTCTTGTACCAAGACAATGACCATTCAAATTCCCTACATATCAAAAGCTTTGGGAGATAAAAATCAGGAGTGCTGTAAACATCCAGCATCATAGAGTCTCCCATCCTCTGAAGTGCATAATGACCCATCGTTTGACTTTTTTTTCTTTTTTAAATAGAGCCCA